CAGTGGAATTATTCTGCAATTAAAAGGAATGAAGTACTGATACATGCTACAACATGGATGAACCTTGAAAATATTCTGCTAAGTGAAAGAAGCCAGACACAAAAGACCAAATATTGTACAATTCCATTTATATGAAATGTCCAAAATAGGCAAACCCATGGAGACAAGAAGTAGATTTGGTGGTTGCCAGGAGCTGGAATGAGAATTGACTGCTAATGGGAAAAAGGTTTCTCTACAGAGTGTTAAAAATGTTCTAAAATTGTGTGATAATGCTTGAATAACTCTGTAAGTATACTAAAAACCACTGGATTGTACACTTTAAGTGAGTGAATCAGTGAATCATATGGTATGTGAATTATATATCAATAAAGCTGTTTTTTAAAAAAGCACTATTTGATGGGAACAGGACAGTTGCCAATTAGAGATCTGAAAGGAAGAGGATGACTGCTCAGATCACTCCCCTGGTTGTTCTAGATTAGTACTGTTCAAGTCCTGAGGAAGGCAAAGATTCAGACAGGGATGCTGGTTAACTCCCAACAAGTTTAATTCCACTAGGTCCACACTTAACCAGAGAGCTTGAGGCACATCACAACCACAAACAATCCTAAGACCCGATTTATTGCTCCTACAGTGTTATCCCAGGGTCCCCAACCCTCTCCTGAACTGTACTGATGCCTTCAAGACCCCCCAAATTATCTAATCTGTCCTAACCTCATACTGTCAAATAAGTGGATGCCTAATCTCCTCTGCCATGGGTAAGGACACAATGATCCTCAAGCAGGAACTATATGACAGGCACTGACTCATTTAATTCTCACAACAATGCTATGAAGCATGCACTAATATTATTTCCATTTTACAGATTGGGAGACTTAGCCATTTGGCCAAGTTCACATAGCTAGTCTGTGGCATGGGGTCAGGATTTGAACACAGACTGGTGCCAACAACAATGTACTTAACCAAAATGTTATGCTGTGTTCCAAGAAAAGACTTTTCACACCCTTTCTAGTAACTCTCCTCAATTTATACACATATGCACTTATCTAGTAAAGAACTGCTCATATAGTAATAACATTCATTGGGTGTCGGGCAGATGGGAGGGGGGATATGGGGATGGGTATATCCACACCTAATGGGTGCGGTGTGCACCGTCTGGGGGATAGACATGCTTGGAGCTCTGACGCAGGTGGGGCAAGGGCAATGTACATAACCTAAACAGTTGTACCCCTGTAATATGCTGAAAAAAAAAAATTAAGGCTGGGCACGGTGGCTCACGCCTGTAATCCTAGCACTCTGGGAAGCTGAAGGGGGAGGATCACTCAAGGTCAGGAGTTCGAAACCAGCCTGCGCAAGAGTGAGATCCCCGTCTCTACTAAAAATACAAAGAAATTAATTGGCCAACTAAAAATATATAGAAAAAATTAGCCAGGCATGCTAGTGCCTGCCTGTAGTCCCAGCTACTCGGGAGGCTGAGGTAGCAGGATCACTTGAGCCCAGGAGTTTGAGGTTGCTGTGAGCTAGGCTGACACCACAGCACTCTAGCCTGAGTAACAGAGTGAGACTCTGTCTCAAAAAAAAAAAAAAAAAAAAATTAAAAAAGGGCTTTTGTCCCCCACCCACCCAACATATTTTTCATGTGGTTTTAAATTCACTGCTCTGATGGACCAGAGCCCAACACTGGTTTCTCTATTATCGGTTTAGCCAGCCTCCCACCTTCGTAGCACATTAATGTAGCAATTCCTCCTCTGTAGCACAAAATTCCGTGCAAAAATTCACTGCAAAACTCTGAGCTCTCCCTCCACCTCTAACTCAGCTGTCCCTTTCCAATACTCCCAGCACTCCTTTGTTCCTTAGCAGTATTGTCCACACCAATAGCTACCCTCATAGCCATAGGAGAGGTCACATCCCTTGGGGTTCAGGGGATGGGAAATGAGGGAAGGCTTCATGGAGAAGACTTCCCTTGTCTTGGTCCCTGAAGGGCAAGGAGAAAGTGAAGGGAAAAAATATTCCAAAATAAGCATAGTATAAGCAAATGCATAAATAGCAAAATGTCTAAGAGAAAAAGACTATAGGATCAGTTTAGGGTTGAAATACTAGGTCCAGTAGATGTGCCATCTTGGCCACTTTATTTAACTTATTTTAATTTGAATTTAAAATCCTAAAAATTGGGATAATAACCTCCTCCTCTCTGGGGGTTGTGAGGATTGAATGAAGTCATATAAAACTGTGGTCCGCAACCCCCAGTCCTTGGCCTGTTAGCAACTCTGCCGCATGCCCCCCACCTGCCCCTTTCCCACCCTGTCTGTGGAAAATTTGTCCTCCATGAAACTGGGGAGCTGCATAGCAGGAGGTGAGTAGCAGACCAGCAAGCCTATTTACAGCCATTCCCCATCACTGGCATCACCACCTGACTTCCCCCCACAACCTCATCAATGGGAAAACTGTCTTCCATGAAACAGGTCCCTGTTACCAAAAAGGTTGGGAACTACAGATATAAAATAACAGCTCTTAGTCAAGAAAAGCAATCACCAATAAAGCCGTAAACATGAGTCGTTTTTTGTTTTTTGTTTTTGCTTTTGTTTGTTTATTTCTAGATCAATTTGCCAGGACTATCGCCAACCCATTATCCTGGAACAATTTCTCTGAAAGATTCCTTTGGTTTCAAAGAAGAATGAGTCATTTTTTGACAAACTGTAGTGGTTAACTTCGCCATTGTTGTTGAATTTGGGAGAGAAGTTTGGAAGAGTAAATTGAGACCATACCAAGGTAGGTCTTTAAATATTAGGAGAATTTTGAGGAAAATAAGAGACTAGAGTAATAAAAGTTTGTATATAGAGGAGAAAAGGAAGGAGGGAGAGGGAGACGAAGGGAGAGGAAAGGAGGAGGGAGAGTACAGGAGGTGCAGTAGAGAGGGAGGAAGTGGAAGGACAAAGGGAGGAGTGGGGGTTGCTTTAGGGAATGAGCAGAACTAGACAAGTTACTTAGAATTCCTTTGTAACTCATTAATGTTTTGCTTCTTGTCTAGCACTCCCATTACACTGTGAGCTTCATAAGGATATGGATCACATCTATTTTGTTCACCACTCTGTAGCCAGAGACTTGCACAATGCCTGACACAAAATAAATAATGAATATTTGTTGAATGAACAGGAATTATGACAATGAAGACAGATCAATCAAAAAAAAAAAAAAAAGATTCCAAGAATTCAGGCATAGATGACTGAGAAAATACAGAAGATTAGAAGTGCAGAGGAAGTGCAGAGTGAGTTTGAATTTTGGACTCAATGGGTTTGAGAAGACTATAGTGCATGCCAGTGTTCATGTTTAGCAAAATTCATATGTGTAATTGGAGCTCAGAGAAGCAGGGGTGTCTGCAGGTAGGTTCTTGAGACTTATTAGCATATAATAGCTGTTGAGGCCACGTGGAGGGAGAGAGGCTTTAAAAGTGGGAGACCCGCCGGAAGTGACCTCACTCCAAAGCCGGCAGAGGAGAGGATACGTTGAGAAACAGTTACAGTTAGAGCTAGACAGACCAAAGGGAAGACAGCCAGAAAAGCATTAAGATTGAAAGTATGAAAAAATTCAGAAAGGACGGGTCTCGGGGAGACAGAGGAAGACACCATGGAAGGAGTGACAGTTATCGTGACGAGCCACACACCAGCCACTCATGGTAAGGCTGCAGCAACTTCTAATTAATTTGACAATCAAATACATGTCATTGGTGGCTTTGAGATGAGCGGGTTTTAAGGGATGCGGGGGGCGCCAAGCCAGATTGCCACGATGGTTAATACTGTTTGAACCGAAATCTCAACTACTTTGTGACCCTGGGCAGGTTCACTGTGTCTTAGCTGTAAAAGGTCGAGACTAAAGTAATAGCAACTACCTGAACGTTATTATAAATAAGTGAATATATGTAAAACTTCTTAGAAGAGTACTTTACACGTGGTCACCACTGACATTTTAGAGTATTTTAAGGGATAACTAGCTGTTAAAGGTAGTGAATGGCACTGTAAACTAATTTTTGTTTGTGGTCTGTAAGATTTAAAAATACATTCCAGAATGAACTGGATGAGGCTTTTCTATTGAATATGGCTAGTGTAAAATCAAATAGTGAATAATTTCAGGCATAATGTGGAGGCATCGCACTTTAATTCATCGAGGGCCAGTTCTTCAAGAATGTTCCAGAAAGCTAAGCTGTTTCCTACCAGTCATGCGCAATATAATTGCGCGCCTTTTCCCAAGCTCCACCCCCTTTCCTATAGCCTATACGGATCTAGTAGGTCTCCTCGCGTTTCTCATTGGTCTTCAGTGGGCTTTGGCTCCGCCTCCTGGAGCAAAGAAATACTCTTAGCTGGACAGTTTGGTTTTACCTTGTCCCGGGGTGCGTTGTTGGATAATTGGGTTACTTTGGTTTTGAGTATACTGTTTGCCAAGGCGAAGTATTTTTTTCCCTTTTAACTAAGTTAATAAGTATCAAACAACTAGATAAATAAGGCGGATGGGAGGGATCAGTCGGAACTGAAGGAAGGTGCCACTTAAGATTGGAGGATCGGAGTGCTTTTAACATCGGACCGAGCTACTTCCGGGAAAGAATGGGCGGGTAGAAAATTATGTGCGTTTGGCGGGTTTCGCTCTCTTCCTAAATATTTGATTATTCCGCAGCCGAGGGAGCCGGACACGTGAAGAGGTAGTGACGCCACCACTGCCGGAACAGACTGCTTCGGGTTCCCCGATGGCTACGTCTGTGGTAAGTGCCTCGGTCGCGGCAGGGCGGCTGGACGCCAGAGCTTGGGAGGCTGAGGGGAGGGGCACTAGGACGGGCTGGCTGCCGGTCACGTGGGCAGGTGGCGAATCAGGGCCTGGCTGGCCAGGCATGGGGCGGGGCCCACGCCGTGCTGACCGCCCAGTCGCCCCCTGCTCCACTCCGGTGTGTGGTCGCATTAGGTCACAGAAAGAACTGTGAGGTGGAGAGTAGTGAGAGGCCGGGTGTTGGGGTCTGTTGTTTATGGCTTTCAGTCTCCTCCACTTGATTATCTTCCTCTCTAAAAATCACTTTCAGCCACCTGAGAAAGAAACTAAACTTGCGATTCGTTCTTCTTAATTCAAATAATAGACCGGGCCGGTAAATGGGGGAGAAGGTACTTATTCCTCAGTCCTCCTATGCGGACCCCAAGTTTTCTTCGTTTTACAATTCTTTTACAAACACTGGTGACTGTTTACGTAATGAGAGAAAGTATCCTAAGTGGAGCTGCCTAGTTTTTCAAGTAGTTGAACTTCTTTCATATTATGCTTTTTATTTTCCATTCGACAGCTTTCAAGTCTGGTCGTAACTTCTTGTTTGAAAAGAAAACTCAACACTTTTCTAGCTTACTCAGTGGCAAATTTCTCCACCCCCTCCCCCCTTTTTAAGGTCTAGATGGCTCGCTTTTATTGAGGTGAATGTTTTGTAAAATATTGAAAGTCTAAAGTACTTAGCTTCCAAGCAAAGATTATAAATTTATATGTGAAGAGTGAAAAAAAATGCATTGAGATGATTATGCCCTAAAGACATGCACTTAAAAATAGTGGAAATTTTTAAAAATGGAAACTTTTCAGCCTTAAATTTTAAAATGTCCAAATTTGTATGTAAGAATGTAGACTGTGTAAATATAGTGGTTGAAATAAATCGCCAGCTTCTGTTGTTGGTTTTGTGTTTGTGAAGGGTTGGAGGAGTGGTAATTTGCACTTCTGAAAATTTTTTTGTAGGATTTTAAAACTTATGTAGATCAGGCATGTAGAGCTGCTGAGGAATTTGTCAATATTTACTATGAGACAATGGATAAAAGAAGACGGGTGAGTGTTATAGACTCTACTACTCTTTATTAAATACCAGTTGTTTTGAGCCAGCCATTCATCTAACTTGCATAAGTGGTAACTGTGGACTTGTTCTTTAAAAGCAAATTGCTTAGGGAAAGATGGGTATGGTATTACTGGGAGTATGGGACCTGGAGTCATAGCCCAGGTTTACCTTTACCTAGTTCCTTGTCCCGGGGCAAGTTGCTAACTTCTCTTAACGTTATTTTATTTTTAGGGTGACAATAATTAATTTAAATACTGCGCTGAACATGGGGTCCAGCATATATTTACTTAAATATTTAAATATATTACCCTTTCTTAGTCCCATCATTTAACCAATATGGTTAAAGTAGTATTAGTGCTAATGAAGGAGTCCTGATTTGCTCCTTTTATTTCATATATTTATAGATAATTTCTGATTAAGGCTCACAATTATAGCTGGCATTCACAAAGAGGATCCACATAGCTTGGATACTTTTAGTCTTCAGTAGACCAAGATTTCACTTTATCAGCTTTTTCATAGTGATTTACCCTGGGCCATATATTCTAAGTAATTATTTCAGTACTTTGTCTAGGGAGTCTTGCCTAGGTTTCTTACCAGCATAGGACTGTGTTTTAGAGAACTTCTTTTATCCTGCACATGCAAAAGTTAATACCCTATATCTAAAAACCTAGTTTTTAAGGCAGAAGATAAAAGAAGTTCCTTGTTCTGATGTTTGTTGACAGGGACGAAAGAGGTAACAATGAATGTTTATTGTCTTGTCTTGAATGTTTATCATGCCTTGCTGTTTTCAAAAATAAAGTAGCAAATAAAGGCAACATAGTTCATTACCAAAGATAAGATAATGTGTTGGTCTTTTAACCCAAGTTAAATTTTAGAATTAAGCAAATAGTGTATCCTGTGACCCCAAAGAGTTAACTGTTGAATGTTTGCCTCATTTGGGCCTTAACTTAATTGACTTGCTAAAAGGTCCGCTTTAGCAAGTACTCACAATTCTTTTGAACTAAGTATGCTAATAGAGTAGTAAGAAGAGGAAATAATTCTTCCTAATACATTCAAATATTAAATGATTCACATGTTTATAACCACAAGGATTAAAGTGTACAGGTAGGGATTGATTGACAACTTTATTAATTCTCAGAATTAGAGAAGTAACAGTGATTAAAACTGGTTTGGGGCTGCATGTGTTTGGAACTTGTGATCATTTAATTCATTTTAATTCAGAAAGTAAGACTTTAAAACTCTCAGGCTTGCAAGGTTTTCTCATTGTGACTAAAGTGAAATATGAAAAAATATATTTTACTGCCTAGTTTATAAAGAGTAAGATAATACCTATTTAAGGCCAATATTTTAAGACAGATACCTTGTTCACATTGGTTTCCAGTGGAGGTGGGGGTGTGCTAGTATTAGTGCTAATGAAAGAGTCAGCCATTATAGGAAATGTTTCCTGATTTGCTTTTTATTTCATATATTTATAGATAATTTCTGATTAAGGCTCACAACTATAGCTGGCATTCACAAAGAAGATGGAGGTAGAACCATGAAAATGTTTATATACCATCTGTAATCTTTTAATTCATGTCTATAAACTGCTTACCTACAAAAAAACTCTTTCCCTTTAAAAAATTTTTCTTTTTTGTTAGGCACTAACCAGGCTGTATCTGGACAAGGCCACTTTAATATGGAATGGAAATGTTGTTACAGGGCTGGAAGCCCTAACTAATTTTTTTGAGATGTTGCCTTCTAGTGAGTTCCAGGTCAACATGTTAGATTGCCAACCAGTTCATGGTAAGACCATGGTCTTTCAAGGTATTTCCTTTGTTTTCCTTTGGTAAGCACTGAGATTTTACATTAAAAGCAGCAAGCAACTTTTAGTGATAGAAATACTTACTTGAGCAAGTTAAATATTAGGAAGAATTCAACTGTCTAATCAGACCTTTGGTCTTCCTTTAGATGCTTCTCCAGAGAACCACTAGTAGGTTTTGATCGATTGTATGATTATAGCTTATTAAAAGTTGTATGAAAAATTGAGACTAAATGTGATTTTTGTTAATGGAAAGATTATCTATTTTCCCCAAATAGATAGTTGCCTGCTGGGCCCTTAAATGTATCCACAAAAAAATTATACCATATCTCTGATTACTTTGTTTCAGTGTGTTATCACCTATTAAAATTTCACAGAAATTTTAGTCTGTTATGTAAAAGGATGACTTTTGGCAAGATAGAATTTAAGATAGATTGATGCAGTTTATAGTGTTAACCTCTAGGTGGGGCCCTAAGTGTCTTTAGTTGTGGTTTAGGGTATTTTTTTTTCCTTTATAGTTCTTGAAAAGAACGGTAACTTCACAAATAGAGACCCAATGAAATATTAACTCATACAGGAAGCAAATGGTCCTGTGCTACATATAAGCTCTTCATTTTGAAACTTTAGAGTACCCTACATATTTCTACACTGAAAATAGTTTTCGTGTCTTTGAATGAATATTTAGTTTTCTGGCTTTGGATATTCGTACTTAAGATTATGCTCAAGGTAAAGAAAGCTTATGAATTTTTTTTAGCATTAGGTCATAAGCAATGTATATTAAGCCTGAAAATCTGCTTATTTAAAGACACAGACTGACCTCTTCTTTTTTTGTTTGTGGATGAAGAGCAAGCTACCCAGTCTCAGACTACAGTTCTTGTTGTGACCAGTGGAACTGTGAAGTTTGATGGAAACAAACAACACTACTTCAACCAGAGCTTCCTGCTGACTGCTCAGTCCACTCCTAACAACACTGTATGGAAGATTGCGAGTGATTGCTTCCGTTTTCAAGATTGGGCTACTAGTTAAGGGGGGAAAGTCCATTCTCCTTTGGTCCATTAGTCCCAGTAACACATTTATGTGAAATTAATTCATTTCATTGTAGAAGCACTATAAACTAGTATGTGCTGAGATAAAATTTCTTCAATAATTTTTTATCCTTATCAGCACCTTTTCTAGTAGCTGCCAGTTTGAATTGTTGCCCTTAAGAGCTTTAATGCTAGTTTTTTACATGCCTTATATACATTCCACTAATGACATTTTTATAGTAGTATCAAATACATGATCTTGATACTTAACATACTCACTGTGAACCCAGCCTATCACAAAAATAAAATCCTTTTATAATACTATCCATAGGATATCAGCACAATATAACTCTGGGAGGAAGTGGAGTGGTTTTTTTTTTTTTTTTTTTTTTTTTTTTTTTTTTTTTTTTTGTGGTTTTTTAAAGCACATGCCTGTTTTCATTTAGCATTGATAATGCAGTTTTAATATATGGCTTTTTAAAGTCAGTTCAATGAAAATAGTGCAAGTTTAGGTTTGTGTAACTACTCTGACATTTGTAATTCTACATTGGAATTACATGTAGATATGTTCAGTAGTCTTTTGTTAAATTTTTTATGTTGGCATGTTTTCTTACAAAGTGAATTAAATCAACTAGAGACGTATAAAACGTTCTCAGTTGATACCTACATACTGGGTACGTTTGGTGGCTTAAAAGTTAATCTTAAAAGATTTTTCTTGGCAGCTCTAGGTCTGTAAATTTAGGTAATGTACGATAGTAGAACGAATAGCTTTAATGGGAGAATGAGGAATGAGAAATACAGAAATCCAAGGTTGAAGCCAAAAGTAAGATGGGTGGCCAAATGGTAAATTTTTGGTACTTATTTTCTACCTCCTAAAAATGTAACTTATTTTTAGGATTTAACTCACTAAGTTAATAGGTATCCTTGTCAAATTGTCATGCGTGTAACTTTTGTTCTAAAAATTATTTTTTTAGGTCTTTCCACTTCACCTCATACTTATCACCAATATATGTCTCAACTTATTCAAGAACTTGTGGGAGTAAAATGTTAGCAATAAGCCTAACCTTGTAACAGGGTCTAACACAAAAGTTGGAAACAAAGCCATTGCTGTCTTTTTGTGACACCCTTAAATTTTATGTCTTCCATGTGAACTTTAGGCCCAAAGTTTCTCATGTATTACCCACCACCAAAATAAGTGGGTTTTTTCCTCCTGTGTTTTGTACTGTCAACTACATTATCTTTCCCTTAATTATTTAGGTTAATTATTTAATTTTATGATTTGTTTTTCTATAAAGCATTGAGCAAATAGATCTGTTTTAAAACATGTTCCTGCTGTGTGGCTAACTCATTGTCTTTTTAAAGAGAAAATAGAGAACAGATCTTCATGATAAACTTCAAAAGAACAAATTGGTAAATTTTATGTTTCAACTTCTAAAGAGAAAAAAAGCAAGCTTGGTTTTTTCTTAAACTTCTAATGTCTTTTCCATTTTAATGTTCTTAAGCTAGATATGCCAGCTTTGTTTCTACATTGCAACCAAAAATTAATGTTTCTTACTACTTAATTTTAAAACCAGTAATTCATTTACTCTTGCCCGAAGCTATACACTATATTTCTGATATACTAATAAAAGAGAATTAAAATAAGAGAAAGGGGTGGAATTGAAATTTAGACTATACCATCTTGTAGCACTGATCAAAACTTAACACATTATATTTGACCCAAAGTGAGCTTATTCTTTTGGATTGGTTTTCTAAAACCATAGCTTTAACAGCAACAATCAAAATGCCCAAACACTGCCCTTTCCCTTAAAGAGAACAATCTCAAGTAAAAGCTGCATATAACTAGCAATAATGGAATTGAATGGTTGTGCGTTGTTCATGAGTGTTGTATGTTTTAAGACTTGTCTATGGATTGCTATTTTCCAAACTCTGAAACTTTTAAACGGCTGGAATTACTCTTATGTGGACTAGACTGTATTTTTGACATGCTCATATTTTTATAATTTGAAAAAATAAAATTTGCCTTGTGACAAGTTTTCTCAAGATTGTTTTAAGGTCTTTTGGTTTTTGTTTTTAAGGATTCAGAACAGGTATTGTTTCTTTACAAGGAAGTTTTTCAAATGAAAAGAAAACATTAGAATATTGAAAACAATAGTTGACAACTTGGACCATTTCTTTTGTCCTTTGTGTAGCCCATCCTATTCTTCCCCTTTTCCTACCAAGTATTCACATTCCTGAGATCACTTATTTGAGGTAGCAGTAAAGTTGTTGGTAAGAAGTTAGAAATCTTAACCTTGAGAAACTAGCCAAAATACTATATTCAATAGGCAGTGAAACCAAAATACAATTGATTTCCAGAAAGAATAGTCTCATTATCCTTAATTCTACATTAAAAATAAGTCAACAGATACTTTTAGAGAGGAGTGAGAAGAGACAATAGCCCTTAAAATATATTTAATCTCGTCAAAGATGCATGTGTTTTACATATTTTAACATCCCTGAAATTGGTATGCATCTTGATGCCATATCATAGTTTAATCACCCTTTTTTCCATTTCTCAGTGGTACATGATGACAAATCTTATAAACAATGGCATCTTCGATGAAATACAATAATGAGTTTTGCCTAGATAAATGGTTAGGAATCTACTTGGGTCTAAATTTGTAGGTATTAGTATAAGTGAAAAGCTGTAAGCTTTAAGAGGCTAGTAACTCATGACTCAAACCCTGTCACCATGTCATTTGTACTTCATGACTATCCCATATGGTTGGAAGAGCCACAGACTTTAATCATGCATATACCTCAGTGAATTTGAGTGATGATAACATTTTCCTAGTTTTTGGAAGTTACCTAGCAATGTATGGTATATCTGAAACAATAGTTTCAACAATTTAAAGGATAAGCATAGTGTTTGAGAAAAGAGCAAGAAGTTAAATAAAAGCTAAGAAGGTACTGTTAGTTCTTTTATTGTGAAATTTTGGTAGATTAATTATTGCCTGAAATTGGGCAGGAAATTTTGTAGAAGGGGATTTCATTTGCTGCTGCTTATAATACAATTTAATATAGAATGGAAAGGATAAGCATGCTTTATCCTTTCTATGTGTGCTTTAACATAACCACACGAATTTAGGAAAAACTGGTAGGGTATATTAGGGTTTTTGATTTTACCGTTGGTTCTATACAGTTTATTTCATCAAAACGCTTGTTACCAAACTGCTGTATTCTATTAATAAACATACTTGCCATTTGCCAAATGCAACTTTCTGTACAAAGTAGTTGTTGGCGACTCAGTGGCCTATATAGATCAGTCTGGCTTTCTAGACAAACACTAAAAGGTAGAAAAATGTAGAGTATTATTGGAGTAATGTGTCAAATGGAGGGTCTTAGGATACAGCATAAATCTGGAATAAGGTATATGCAGGATTTAGATAGGTGGCTTTCAAAATTTTACTATGACCCATAGAAGTATATTTGACATCACGACCCAATATACAGATGCATAAATAAGCCAGTAAAAGATATATACAAAATATAACTCAAGATTACCTTGCAGTGTTTTCCTAATATTTTGTTTCAGTTTATTACCTTTTTGAAAATGCTAGTCATAACCTCAATTGATTTTTACAATGAGCAACTAGAAAAACAAAAGTAGAGCAAGCGTATTTTCACTATCACTTTCTAGTAGGGGTATATGACTGGCTTCTAAAAAGTAGTGTCCTTATGTCAGTGATGTCACTCTGACTTAGAAGTGATCAAAAACAACTTTCTCCTCTAGCCTTGTTATATTTGTTGAGGGCCATGAAGGGCAGCACTGTTTGCCTCCCAGTTCTTGGCTTGCACCAGAAGTTCAGAGTTAAGAAAGCAAATGTTTAGGTTAATTTTTAGGCAGAATATGGGAGTAGGATGAGTGGCAATGAAAAGGAATTGAAACGGAGGAAGCTGCTCTATTTCAGATATCCAAGCAAAGAATTGAGAAGGCATTCCAGCAAAAATACTTTTCAACATGGTTTGATATTACATAAGTCTGTATTTTGATAAATTATAAGTCAATTTCATGTATTTTTTTTTCCTTTTCCTCCCTTCTTGAACACCACAGACGTCTACAAATCAACTCCTTTGGTTTGACTAGGGCTATGGTGGTCTCTAAGACATAAATCCTGGCCCCAGACTCAAAGGAGACTTGTATTCTATGGCCATTCTGCCCCTGATGTGTTCTGTGACCATAGGCGATTCACTTACTCTGGGCCTCTGTCTTCAACTGTTGAATGGAGACACTATTTGCCCCATCTGGCTCACCAGGTGGTTATGAGGATCAAATAAGACAACAAACGCGAAAATTCTTGAAAAGTGCCATTTGCAGGCACATATACAATAGTATGTTTTTTGGCTTGGTGATCATCTTTCTCCCCTCTCTAAATTCTGTTTCTTTTAGGGTCAAATCAATTGAGGGTGACTGTTGTCCACAACCAGACACTCATTCTAAACCTTGCCACTGCCTTTACAGCACTGTTGTTTTTCTAGCTCGACAAAACGTCTAAGACTAAAAGGATAGAAGTGGCTATTTTACTGTAAAAAACAAAAAAGATTCATGGCCTTAAAGGGATGCAGTGATAGCAATTTACAAATATATTTTTGAGAAGTCTTTCTGTAACCAGGGAAAAAAAGACACCTGTAATGTTATTCATTCCAGTTCTCTTGCTCAAGGGCAGGAAATGGCAAGAAAAGCCTGCAACACTTACCAAGCCCAGGTGCCAAGGTCTGCCTTGGAGCCTGAGCTGCCTGAGGTGGCTAGAATGCTCTTTGTACTCCTGACTCTTTTGTGTTGTTTCTAAAAGAGCCTCTGAGAATGATTTCTCTAATACGCTAATCTGTCCATCTGTAGCACCCAGGATGCCCAGTGGTCTGGGCCCAAACGCAGAGCTAATAATTCAGCTTTGGATGTTACTGGGGAGAAAAGGCAAACCTGGGTGGAAGGACCCAAGAAGAAATTAACTGGGGGTGTGGGGAGGGGGTAGGTAGGGACAGTTGGGGAGATATTCCTTTCCAAATAACTGAAAATAAAAGGAGAGAATGAGGGAGGAGAGAAATTGAAAAAAAAAAAAAAACCAGCCTCCCCTGGAGAGGTAATTTGTGATAATTCTAGGAGGAAAGGCATAGTGGTTAAGGAAGACCTCACATCTCAGAAGGAGAACTGTAGCTAAAACATACACACTTACAAATCCCTGAGAGGCCAGTGACAAAATTAGGAACTAAGGGGCCTCCTACCTCCATGTCCCTTTCTCCCATCCTTCTGGGACCCTATATTGATATACCCATCAAAGCCTCCACTGTTGCAGACACTATACCTATCCTGCCCTCCCCTCAAATCCCCCTTTGCCATCCCATGCAAACTTTTTTGCCCTAG